AACGATAAAAGTTTCCAAATCTCCCTCCTCGTCTTTCCATCTTGGAATTTTTTAGACAAAAATATCGACACTCCTCTGTTAGAGATCTGAAATCACGACGAAGATCGAGGTATAAGAGAAAAGTTTTTCAAAGAGTTAAAGCACAGACTTTAGCGTAACTTCGAGAGTATCTCGTAAGGCTTCGTTTCTCGTAAGAAAAAAACTCTAGTTTATTGATAATTAGAAATTTTTCTGTTTCCTTCTTCTCGACGATCGTCGGTTGTCGTTGCTCCAATCTTATCGTTATTCCATTTCCATCTGTACTTCTGTATTTCTTCTTCGATATTCGAGTCTTAAAAAAAATATATAATTAAAAAAAATATATATATCTAGAAATATGTAGATACGTAAGTAAGTAACAAGAGATTAGAAATAAATAACGCACGATTCGACGATTCAATAAGCGAATCCTTCGAGCCAACGGTCCTCCTCCGATCGCTTTTAAATTAATGGCTCTCTCTTTAATTAGAAATTCGAGACTTGAAACACCGGTCGAAATAAATTATCGGATAAATAATTAAGGGAAAATATGCATTCGCAATTACTCGATTCGGTCGAATGCGGAGATTTGATGCGAGCGCATAAAGAAAAAGAAATAAAATGAAATAAAATAGAATAATATAAAGGAACGAAGGAAAGACATCCTTTTCACGATCAATCGGATGAAAAGTATAATTTTGGATTGCGTAATGAATTACCTTATTGAAACGAAGGGAGGGGGAAATTTTTATTAAATTTTTGATTAAACTTTGATGAGACTTACATTTGATCGATAGTCGGTCCTCTAGTTATACATACGAGAATTACACTTTTTATTGTTTTTTTTTTTTTTTTTCGGAACGGCGTTTCGGTAATTGATCGAAATTGCGTTTAAACTCATTTCCATCGAGGAAACCACAACGATTCTTCGACAACTTGAAAATATTTATTTCTTTAGATTTTCAAGAAAATATTTCTCTTGAAGTATTTCTGAAATTTAATATAGTTATTTTTTTTTATATTTCTTATATTCTTATATATTTACGTGTTCATGTTTCAATAATGTTTCAATTTAAACAGATTTCATGTTTTTAGTCTTTTTAAATACAAAGGATTAATGCATTGAAAATTGTGATTTCGATTGCAATAGATGCAAATATCTACACTGGCGATCGAAGAAATTGCACAAGTTAACTTTCATTTATTACAATTTCGAAAATGCATATCGAGAAATCTGATACTGGTAATTTATCATCGAAATTTATTTAAGTAAGTTGAAAAACTTGTTTTTGAAGTTTAACTTTCTATCTATCGATCTGAAAAATAATGATGAGGATGTGAAAATTATTTACTTATGAATATTATGTATTTTCGATATTTAACAATTTTCGATATGTGTCTTATAATAAAAATATTGTTATTTGATAAAAAAAACAATAAGATATTTTTTCAAATTTTTACATAAATATTAATGCATAGAATATACTATATTCTATTAGATAATAGAATTTTAACTTGGACTAATGTATAAAAAAAAATTTCCGACAATTCAATTTTTAAGAATTCCGTTTACAATTGCATCCTTTGCCATGTTAAAAGTAATCGCAATTTAGACATTTCAATTGTTTTCTACTTTTTTTCTAAGAAATAGGATCTTTTAGTTATAAGAAAACAGTCCTTTCCTTTTTTCAAATGTTATATTCCTGGCTTGCAAAGAATATTTTTTTAAATGAACCTTTAGAAACTTAGACCAATTTTCGAAGCAAATGCTCATGGGTTTCTATTATTCATATCAAAGTATAGCAATAAAGTACCTACAAAAGTAATAACTTCCGTCGGAATTTTCTTAGTGATGACAGTTGATATAGAAATGGAAACGTCTTGGACGATAGATAGTTAAGTGATTATAGCTAAATAAAAAATGATTCGAAAAATACAACGCGTCGCTATGTGCAAAAAGAAAAGGGAGAAAAAGAATACATTGTATTCAAGCATTACTGAGTATGATCGATTGACGATTTCTTACATCGTTCTAAAAAAATGAAGACAACATCGAACAAAGACTTCACTTACGCTATGATTCCGTTGAAATTCTTGTCATGGCCCGTAGGCACTTGGCCTTTCCAAGTGCACGAAATATTTTCAATCTCACGTACCATATTTTCAATTTCACTTTTGGTATAAAATTTTTATATCATTGTGTCTCACATGTTATGATTAATTGTGTTTAAGAATTATTTTATTGCAGTTATTGATGGTAGTGATTTTACAAGTGGAATTATATTTGGACAGAAGCAACGCAGAAAATAACCTAGATGCTCTTCTATTAATTAATTGCGGTATTTTAGCAGTGGCAAAAGTGATGTGTTTTCGTATACGTTCTATAGGACTCGTTTCCAATTTTTCTTCTGCGATTAAGGATTACAACGAATTAAACAGTGAAGAAAATCGAGTGATTATGCGCCGGCATGCATACATGAGTAGAGTAGCATGCGCCAGTTTAATATCTTGCTCGTTTATCGCGTCCACGCTTTTTATGACTGTGCCTATGCTTACTGGCAAAGACAAAGAAGAAATAATTAATATAACGGAAAAAAGTATAATAAAATATCCTATTCCATCTAAAAATGCATTGGCGATTATAAATATGCCGGAAAATTTGAGTTTCATGGTTTTCATCATAGAATACATGATGCTATTATTCACGAGTACTGGGAATCTAGGTAATCATTCATTATATTAAATATTTTTTTATGAAAATGTTTTTTTTTTATATAGGTAGCGATTCATTGTTTTTCGGTATTGTTTTTCATTTGTGTGGTCAAGTGGAGATTTTAAAATTAAAATATAATAAATTGTCCAATACAAACGAAAGAACAATGGAACATATTATTTTATTAACCAAAAGACATATTTACTTGTTGAATCTGAGTAAGATGCTAAATGAGACAGTTAGTTCTATTTTGGTCATACAACTTTTTTCAAGTTGCGTACTTATATGTACAACTGGTGAATATTCGTATTATTTTTACTTTATGACATTTAATAAAGCATAACAAAATAGTTTTAAGTGTATTTGATTTATTATTAAAATCTACAAAAATAATTTACAATTATTTCTAGGATTTCAACTTATTCTCACTTTGACTTTTGGAAATGTCGTCTTGACGATAAAAATACTTGCAGAGATATCCATTCTTTTGATACAATTGTTCGCATATAGTTACGTAGGTGAATATTTAAAGAACCAAACTGAAGGTATCGGTAATTCGATATATTTCTGTACTTGGTATGATATGCCAAAAAATATATCCAAAGATATTATTTTTATTATTATGAAATCTCAACGTCCAGTTCTCTTGACAGCTGGGAAATTCTTTGTTGTCAACATGCAAACATATATGAGTATTTTAAAAACTTCGATGTCGTATCTTTCAGTTCTTCGAGTGATGGTAAATTCTTAAGATTTTTATATTAAAGCAAATATTTTAACGATATAGTAATAAAAATTTATCTTAGTATATTTGTATAATGTAAATATAATATATTTTCGTGATTTATTGATCGTATTTTAAATATTTGGATTTCAAATCGTTTTAGAATCGAAAATATGTAATAGATCATCTCAGTAACAATCAATAATTCGTGTAATATTCGAGAGATGGCATTGTGATTAGCCAATCACAACAGATTAGAACGCCATCAAGCGGCGTAAAGAACATATATGGATGCTAGCATACCTTTCTTAGTTAAGACTGATTAGAAATGATTTTTTTAAATATTTTTTTTATCAAATATCAAATTCATAGAGACATTATATAATTTCATGCAAATATGTTTAATATTTTATATATTTGATTTAGTAATATATATTTTTATTTTTTATTATGTAAAAGATTTTACTCATCGAGATTTTTTTCTTTAATTTTACTAAAAGTTACTTATATGATTATCAGTAACTTTTTCATTCCTGTAATATGTTTCAAAAGCGCAGAAATATTTGAAATATATATTTAAAAATACAATATGGTTTAATTATTTATGGTTGCGATGTAAAGTTTTTATAATGAATTGAACGTATTTACATATAACGTTGTGCATACCTTAACCTCAAAAAAGAGTTTAAATGTTTTTCGACGAAAAAGTATTTTTTTTTAAAAGAGGTATTTTTATCTTAAGATGGCATATCGTTTGAGCAATAAAGAAAAATTTAAGTCATTTTTAAAAGTGACCAGTACCGCTACTGTTTTCTATGCCGGCGTCTGCATTTATCAGGGTGATGAAAACATTTACAACAAATTTGTCATGCCGTTTGTACAATTAATAGATCCCGAATTTACACACAATTTCGCAGTGAAAATTTTAAAATGGGGTCTTTTATCTAAACCAAATGTAAATGATCCAGCTTCTCTTGCCATTGATGTTTGGAATTTAAAATTTAAAAATCCAATAGGGATGGCAGCTGGTTTTGATAAACAGGGTGAAGCAATAGAAGGCTTGCACAAAATAGGATTTAGTTTTGTAGAAATAGGTAAGAATTATAAAATGAATCGTAATTAAACAATGTTATATTATAACATTTATTACAGGATCGGTTACACCAAAACCTCAAGAAGGCAACTCCAAACCTAGATTATTTAGATTATTAGAAGACAATGCAGTTATTAATAGATATGGTTTCAATAGCAAAGGTTATGATACAGTATGGAAATATTTACAAAAATTAAAAAAAAATCAGAACTTTAATGGTATCGTTGGAGTTAATTTGGGTAAAAATAAAACATCAGAAGATGCAGCTCAAGATTATATAGATGGTATTAAGAAATTCTCAGACGTAGCAGATTACTTTGTAATTAATATATCTAGCCCCAATACTCCTGGATTAAGAACATTGCAAAAAAAAGAAGATTTAGAAGATTTGTTAATAAAAATTAACAAAATCAGACGATCTATACAAAGCAATCAACCTTTACTATTGAAGCTCGCTCCAGATTTGTCCGATTCCGAGAAGCAGGACATTGCAAATGTAATACTTGAAGAGAAATCGAAAGTAGATGGTCTAATATTGTGCAATACTACAATAACGCGTAATAATTTATCGAGTCCTCTTAAAAACGAAACCGGAGGACTCAGTGGTGCACCTCTTACCGATATGTCAACCGCAATGATATCTGATATGTATAAACGAACGCAAGGTACTATTCCAATTATCGGAGTTGGTGGTATATTTAATGGAGCAGACGCTTATAACAAGATTAAAGCTGGTGCTTCATTGGTACAAATATATACATCATTTATATTTATGGGGCCACCAGTTATAGGAAAAATTAAACGAGAATTAAATGATATATTGAAACGAGATGGTCTGAAATCTATTAAAGATGCGATTGGGAAAGATGTCAATATTAGTAAATAATTATATACATAATAATTATTTGTTAAAATTATCCATATTATTAAACTATATTATGTTAAAATTATTTTATATAAATGACTTTGTTTTTTTTTTCGTTTAATTGCTACAATTAATTTCTGTTTTGAAAATATGTATATTCTATATGTATATTCTAAGTATTCTATATAAGTAATAAAACAATATTTGTAATACGCAACAATAATATTAATTTTTTTCATCATTTTAAAATTTATAACGACTGACGTTCTTTGCGTAATATTTATTTAAGTAAGTTATACAAACATTTTTATTTTAAAATATGTGTTTCGTATAATTATTTAGTATAACTATTTAAAAGCATTAAAATATATCTGTGGTACCTGACGTGTTACAACTAACGTATTTCATTTTTCGATCTGCGATCAGATCTTACGTACACTATGATTAATACTCACTGGTAATGTCTTCTTTTCGCGACATACTTACGATTAAACAAATGTCGGGACACACTTGGAAAAAGATTTTTACTCGAGCGCTTTAATATTCTTCTACTTTAGAATCAAAATAAATGATAAAATCGTCAAAAAACAACTACAATTAATTTCCTTATTATATCTTTTTCTACCCGCAATTACTTCTTAAAATCAATTTTTGGTACCATCGCTTTTAAACATTCTAACATCATCTACACATTGACAATATAAATAAATCGTGTATACTTTAATTAATAAAATACACGAGTATAATCGCTAAACTAGAAGCAACGAGAGATCGATAAAGAAATTGATCGTTATCAGGTTCACGGGCAATCCTTACACGTATTACATTTTCAGGTACACAGTTACAACATTCGAGAAAAGGGTCAACGTTAATGCAAACCAAGATTTCCTCCCAGACCCTGTTCTTTCCTCCACTGTGCTAATCGGATAGAGTACCAGGCCTGGAAGATGCAACGTAAAAGAATATCGAATATCTTTTTTTAAATCATAATTTTTAAAATATTTCTTTTTTTCAGAAAACAAGTATAAAAACCTCGACATCGGCTTCGGAAAGTCCTGTCTCGGCCGCCAGTAGAACGATATCGGCTGT